TAGGCTCTCTCCCTGTCTCTGTCTCTGTCTCTGTCTGTCTGTCTGTCTGTCTCTGTCCATATACATATTGGAATTTCAGGTGTCTCCCAAGCAGCTTCTTCAAAGCTTCCCTTACATATACTAAAGTCCAGTCATGCCACAGATGCCATTTAGGTATTCATATAGGAATTAACCTGAGCACCCAGGTACTCGAACTCAGGCCTGGGGCTGATTTTAGAGCTCATCAGTGTAAAATCACAGAATGAACAAAACTGTACTTGTTAATTGCATGCCTATTCTATACCCTGATCTGCTTAGTTTCTGGTTTCTGATAATTCAAGGACACTTCAGACATTTAGAATACCCTTTTTGTCTTAAATAAGTGAAATGTATTTCCTTACAATTCTGGAGGTTAGAAGTCCAAAGAGTGTAAGCAGGTTTAGGCTCATATCTCTCTTGAACTCCCAGATGGCTGCCTTTTCTGTGTGTTCTGTCATGGTCACCCACCTGTCTCTGTTGTGTGCATCCTAATCCCTTCCTCCCTCCCTTTCCGTGCTGCTCCCTCCCTCCCTCCTCCTGTGCTGAGAATCAAGCCCCGGGCCTTGCATAGGCTAGGCAATGCTCTTCCACTAAGCTGTACTTGATTTCATTAATTCTTTCTTCAATGATTTTTTTAAAAAGCCTGTGTTAGAAGTCAAAGACAGCATAATCCTCCTGCATTCTCAGCTATGTCTACCTTCCTTTGAAATGGAGATCTTACTGACAATGGGAACAAGGTCTCAGGACAGACATGATCCCAGAAATGAAAAGGACACTGGTTAAAAATTCAGGAAATTATTCTGCTCCATAAGATGTACCTGCTCATCCGGATGGTGTTTTGCTTGGCTCCCACCTTTTTTATGCCTGCCAGGAAAGCTCCATGCCACCCCCAACAGGGATGGTAGTCAGGTCTACCACTCTTTTAGTGGGTGCTCCCTTGGGCGGTAAGGAGCATTGGAACGAATGCCAGGCCTGATGTTTTTAAGTCTGATCTTATTTGTAAGGAGTTCCAAGAAAAGAAATCCCATATACTTTAGGCTTAGAAGCTGCTAAATTATCGTGGCCCTGATTATAAATAGTTCTTACAAAGCAGCTAGGTATTACAAATTAAACATCAGAGATTTGGCTGACTACTTTCTCTGGTATATTTATATTTCCCTTTCTTCTTGATCCTAATTAGAGGTATAGATCAAATTCTTTGGAAACAAATAGCAAATGTGCACATATTTTTAAAAATTTTCAAACCAAGATTCTTCATTTTATGTAATAAATATCAAAAAGACTCAGGATTAAGTATTTTGGGTAGCACTTTGGAGTATATAATTGTTAGGTATTTCTAGCACAGCAGAGAAGCAGAAGTAAAAGAAAGGGAGGGAAAGGCCTTTATTAATTCTGAGGATAAGGAGAGGATCTGAGGGACATGGGCAGATGCTCTGACCTGAGACAGGGAGGCTGAGACTTTATAGACTTTTGCTAGGGGCGGAGCTTGAGGGGCAGGTTCAGTGACATACAAGATGCTGATTGGGGGCCCCCTTGTATGTGTGGAAAAGTAAAAAGAAGTTGGATCCAGCACTGGAGTGGGGAAGGAGGAGGAATTGGTCACTGGGAAGATAAGCAGTTGTTTTGGGGATTCAGCCATGTTGGATCAGGGCATGATAATTTAGCAGTTTGTACTCCGGCTGGAACCTATCTCTAAGAGTTGAGTGTGGGAGGGGGGGAAAGCTGTAAAGCAGTTACATCAAGGTGGGCTACAACGTGGGGCAGTTAGTACCTTTTTAAGTCTCTGTAAGATCTGAGCTAGCTGCTCCTTCTCTAACATTGCCACTGGTGTAGACCGCTGCATTGCAGATTTAAATGTGCCAACACCTCATCTGCAGGCTCTTGTGAGAATTAGGATTTGGATTCAGTAGGTCTGGTGTGGCCTGGGATTGCCTTTTTTTTGTTGTTTTGGTGGAACTGGGTATTGAACTCAGGCGCTTGTGCTTGCCAGGCAAGCACTTATTCTACTGAGCCATCTCCCCGGCCCCCGGGATTGCCATTTTTAATGAGCTTCCAGGTTGCAAGTGCGTAGACCTTGTTCAGAGCATCAGGGATCTACAGCAGGGCTTGGAGTCTAGCTAAGTCACCCCCAGCATGAACTGAATCACTATTCCTGGGGTGAGCATTCCTCAGTGCCCTTGTACAGCAGGGACAACAATAAGGTGCTGGTTTCTTTCGGGTGAATGCCTCCAGTGAGCTAAGAATAGCTTGCTTTTCTGATTTTATGGAGTAAAATGTCAAATTCCAGTTATCTCCGTATAGTAACAAGTCCATATTTTCTAACTTTAGCAATCCAGTATCCCTATTGTGTAACACAATGACTCTGAAAGTTAAATGACTTGAAAGAGTGACTTTATTTTGCTCCTGTTTTTCTGGGGCAGGATTTTAACCTGGGTGTGGCTGCATGATTCTTGGTTGAGTATCTGAAATAGTTGTCAGGTGTTGTAAGGGGCTGCAGTCCACTAACGGCTCAGCTCGGCTGGGGCTCCCACATTGCCCATTTATGTGGCTGACCCTGGATGCTAGCTGTCAGTGGGCCAGTTGTGGTTGCCACTGGGTCACCTGCATGTAGCCTCCCCACGTTGCTTGGGCTTGTCACAGAATGGTGGCTGAGAGGAATTGCCTAGAGAGCAATCAGTCTTGACAGAAGCCACACGGCTTCTTGTGAGTCACACAGTGTCATGCCACATTCTATTAAGTATAAGCAAGTCACCAGGCCAGTCCAAATTCAGGGGGAAGGAAACAGTGGCCCTCTTTGATCTACCATAACTCCCTTCCCAAATGAAATAGTCAGGTGGGTGTTTTACTTGCTTCTGCCCCATTAATCCATTCTGCTGAGTCCTCACCAGGAGAGAGAGAGAGAGAGAGAGAGAGAGAGAGAGAGAGAGAGAGAGAGAAATGGTACAGTTCTATTTGAGGGCTGGGTAGAGAAGGCCAGAGTTCACTGTGGGGAAAAGATGCCCAGAAATGGCCTGAGCACCCACATTTGGCTTTTGTACTCTAATTGTGGTTTATTTTGAAAGTCAGAAATCACTTTAAGTGAGGCCAAAGGTATGAAGGGCGTGAATTAAGCTTTACAACACTACTCTGCTTGTCAGTGCTACGTGTCAAAATCCTCTAGCAAAGCTGGATGAAGCGATGGAGCCAAAATTAAATAGACTGTAAGGTCCACATTACTCATCATCATGCTAATATTGCCTACTACTGTTGAAAGTTTCCTTCATTAACATGTGCTTTGCTGCTTCTTAAAATAGCTCCATAACCAAATGCTGCAATTCTAAAAAGCATGATAAAAAAGGTTCTCTGATCATGCTCATTACTGAATATTTTTAGCAGAGCAATAATTAGGATTTGGAGGAAGCCGGGTGCATCATTATGTCAGCAGAGGGCTTGGCTTCTTTCAGAGACCTACCTCCCCACCAGCCAAAGCAAATCTCTCCCCAACCCCAAATCTACTTTCAGTTACTCAACCACAGAACCTCAGCCTCTGGCTTCAAAGAAAGGGTGAGTTCACATCACTGATGTCGAAATGCTTCACTAGGGGCTGGTGAGATGGCTCAGTGGTCTAAAGCACCTACATAGAACAAGCTTGGCAAAGCACAGGGACCACGGTTCAATCCCCCAGTACCACATGCTAGCCAGCCCACCCCCTGGTGGGCTGAGCTGCCACACACACACACACACACACACACACACACACACACACACACACAATTAAATAAATAAAAATTTAAAAAAAAAGAAATGCTTCACTAAAGCATGTTAGTAGCCAGAAAATTATCTTCACATTCCAGCAACAGGAGTGTGGGTGAAATATCTGCCTGCTAAAAGATGGGTTGGATTTCTCACCCGAAAACTTGCTGTTCCCACCAAGATGGAGATGTCACCCCAGGCCCCTTAGCTTGGAACCAGAATGCTATTTATGTCCATGTGTCTAGATGTTTCTACCCTCTGCCTTCTACTTAGTTTTCTGTATTTGATCCCACACTCCAAGAGGGTGATTAAACAACATTTCAGACTTGATGGCAAACCCAGACTCTGTCCTTTCTGCTGGTTGCCGTGTCTCTGATATCAGCAGTGCACCCCTGCTGCCCATGCTGCAAAAGTGCAGGTGGTGTCTGCAAAGGGACACCCTGCTTGGGCTGCAAGACTGAAAAATTCAGAGAGAACTGGATTTGAAAGGGCACTGAGAGGTCAGTCTTCATGCCCTTAAGAAATCCCGCTCTAGTGCTCGCTTGCTCCTAGGTGAGAAGAGAAGCAGGAATGGCGCAGCTCCAAGACAGAGCGTCAAGTTGCTCTGTGAAGGCCTGGCAGTACCTGACAGGAAAGGGTAGTGGCACACGGGAGGGAATGACAACCACAAAGGCTCAGTCTAGGGGCTGAGACATTTCCTTGAGGAAGCGGCATTAAAGCTGAAACCCAACAGATGACCAAAAAGTCACCAGATATGGCTGGGCTGAAACAGAGTGCTCAGCTCCATAGACTACAGCAAAAACATAGCTTGAAGTTTTGTGGTGCACAGGCCTGGGGGTAGAGGGTGAAGGGTATAGGGCCCGGGAAAGAGTTACTGCAGAGAATTGATCGTGCAGGCAGTTGCCCTACACACAGGGCCTTTGCACTGGGCTACATCCCCAGTCTTTTTTTTAAATTGTAGGTTTTTTTTATTTTGAGATGAAGTCCCACTAATTTACTAAATAGCTTAGTCTTGAACTTGTGATCCTTCTGCCTCAGTCTCCCAAAGTGCTGGGATTACAGATGTGGGCATGCCACCATGCCCTGATAAATGTCTCTAATTGGTTATAATAATAAAGAATAAAAAAAGAGATCTCAGTTGCCAACAAGTCGTTTGAGTTGACGAATTTTTAGCAAAAATCCAATTTTTGCCATTGTTAGTATTTGCAATATCTTTATAACCTATACTGATTGGTAATCCATATATATCTTTCAAGAATTTAAGGAAATTTAATAGAACTATTAGAACTTGATGTCCTCTGAGCTTGTTTATTTTTACTCAGTGCCACATATTCCAGATGAAAGGGCCTTTTAGTGGTGAAACTACCACACTGAGCAGACAGCTCTTAGGGAGGTGAAATCATTTAGCATCCCACAAGCATGCTCTTAGATCAGACCATAACAAAAATAGGATAATTTTTCTCTTTTGCCTCCATGTCATGTGATACAGACCTCCTTGGGGAAGAAGGGGAGGTGCTACAATCCGACTAATTCCTTGCCTCAGTCTTCGTTCCCTTACTCGTTTGATTTGCATTGCTGCGTACCTTCCACGTGCCACCCACAGGGGCACTGGGTTTGGGTGCTGGAGATGCAAAGGCGTGTAAGGCACAATCTGTGTGTTTGAAATGTTCCTGTCTCTGCGCAGGCAGGCGGGCAGGTGTCAAGAATACTTTTATTAACAGAAAATGTCTATGTCCAAAATGCCATGGATTCTGCCTGGCGATGTCAGGAAAGACTTCTCCAAGGCATAAGCATGAAGCCTGAGTGTACAGATGAGGAGGAACTGTGTAGTTGATGTGGGAGGGAAGGGGCGCTTGAGGCAGCAAGGATGAGCTCAGAAGAAAGGTAACCAGGAGCCAGCAAAGTGCTCAGTGCATCCTGGGACCAGGCCCAGGACGATGAGCACACTGTGTGTGTGTGTGTGGGGGGGGGTGCGTGTGTGTGTATGTGACTGAGGCAGGAAGAGCCGGCTCGGACCATGTCCAAAGGCCTGACTGGCACACTCAAGAGCTCCAACTTTGTTCTGGAAAAGAGGGCCATTCAAGGAAATGGGTGCATTGAGGTGATCTTAGTTTTATCTCTTCTTTCCTGCTTGAATAGGAATGTTTGTTCCAACGCAGAGAACAGAAGGCATCTCAACATCAGATATCATCACCAGGATCGTCCGTGACTATGATGTTTATGCCCGGCGCAACCTCCAGAGAGGGTACACAGCCAAGGAACTGAATGTCAGCTTTATAAATGTGAGTGTGCCACCCCACGCCCACTGAGGACCACCACACCACCACTGTAGCCACTGGGGCCACTTTCTGTGTGCTTCTTGTGTGCCACGCAGTGTCCCTAATGCTTTGCATTCACTGTCCCATGTAAGCTACATAACAATTCAATGCTGTATTTTAGTCCCATTTTATAGATGAGAAAACTAAAACCCAAAGGGGTAATGCAAGTTAACCAAGGAACATAGGTAGCAAAAAGAACTTTCTCCCTTCCCTCCTCCTGGACCCCTCCCCAACTTTCAGATTTGAGAGGAGGAGGCTGTCTGGAAAATCTGCCTCTTATGAAAGGCAAAATTTAGGGCCGGTGATATAGCTCAGTGGACTAATCGCCTGCTTAGGAAAGCACAGGGACCTGGGTTCCATCCCCGGTATCACATATGTGACACCAGCCCCACCCCTGGGCACACTGAGCCAGCCACTCTGACTGGGAGTGGAGGTACACACCTGTAATCCCAGTACTGGGGAGGCTGAAACAGGAAAATCACAAGTCCAACCTACATAGTGAAACCCTATACCAAATATGTTAAAAAAAAAAAAAAGGCAAGAGTTTTTTGTTCAGAGAAGGAAGAAGACAGGGGCAATAAAATGCTAAGCCCCAAGAAAATCCTTTCTTGTTTTAACATTTTTAAAAACATCATTTCATTAAGGCCTTACAAGTGCTCATTAGAAACCTTAACAGCCATTTTGTTATTGTCCAGAAAAATTACAGCTACTTAAATAAAATCTTAAAGTCATTGGCTTCTTTTGTATTTCTACCATATTGTTCCCAGGAGCTGGTGTTGGTTTAATAATAGAGCAATTGTTAAAACAATCTTTAAAACAAGTAAAACAAGCTGTTACAAAGCAAAGAGGGCAGTCGAGTGGCTAGAGGTGATGTTAGTGAGGCCAGACAGCTGGTTTTTCCTGGTCCCTGAGGAGCTGATATGTTTTATTAAAACCAGTAAATACATGAAAATTCCAGCCCCCAAATAGATCCTATATTTTCTTTTTTGATATTTTAATTTAATTTTTATCTTATTTTATTTCATTGTTTTTGACACAGGGTCTCACTATGCAGTTTAGGCTGGCCTTGAACTTACTTTGTCACCCAGGCTGGCCTCGAATTTGAAGTGACCTTCTGCCTCAGCCTCCCGAGTACTGGGATTACAGGTGTACACCATCACACCTGGCAGACACATTTTCAAACAGAAATTTCGCTTCAAAATTAGGTACTTATCATGATAAGCCACCATAATTATCTTGTATCATACAATATTTTTTTGGTGGTACTAGGGGCAGGACCAGCACAGCAGACCTAGGGATCGAATCCCTGACCCCTGTGTCTACTTGCAGGCACTTTAATCCACTGAGCTATTTGGCTGGCCCCATCATACAAAATTGATCATTATGACCTATCTTCAAAAAAGGAGGGAATCATTAATTATAAGTCAGTGGCTATTAATTGTCCTCATGAGGAAAAGAGTGATGAGAGTGTAGACTCTGTGACTTTGTACAAGTTGGGCAACAAAATGGAAAATGTTGGGTTCCAGTGGCACCAGAACAAGTGGCTGAAAAGAATTCAGTCAAAGTGATTATTTGGTATCTTACAGAGAAAAAAGCTCTGGTTATTTCAATAAATTAAACTGTCTGTTCTTTTAAATTGAATTCAGTCAACCATCCAAGCATGGTGAGCCATTTGCAAAAGTTATCGCTCACTCTCCTTGAATGGTCTTTAGATAAGCCACTTAGCTCAAGGAACCATGCAGACAGTATGGATGTGCTCACTACCTTGTGGTGACAACAAACCTGGCCTCAGCAAGCAGGTGAAATTGAATGTGTTGGATGGGCATGTAGATGAATTGCCGAACCTGAGAAGTGGCAGGGACCTGATGGGGGCCAGGCATCCTGCTCAAGTCCCCTGATTCAGAGAGGGTGAAAGCTGAGTCCAGGGTGGGTACCTGACCAACACCCATTGAGTAGCCACCCAGTGTCATGCCTTCCAGCCCGGTGTTCATTCTACTGTTCTGGGATGGTCCTGTGAGCTGTACACCTAACCATTTTTATGAAGAATGAATTATTGGCTTGGGAGATAGCTCAGTGACATAAGTGCCTTCCTGAGAAGTGCAAGGTCCAGCGTTCGATCCCTGGTACTACAAAACACAAAACAAAATTTAAAAAAGAACAAAAAGCTCCTCAGCTTCAGAATGAATTACGGTAGAGAGTGGCATAAAGACAGCAGCTAGCACTTACTGAGAGCTTACCATGTGCCCATCTAAGCGTTCTATCTGGACTGCCTCATTTAATTCTAATGATAAACCCGTAAGGGTGGATATAATGACTATATCCAACATAGAGGCAAGGAGACAGAGGTCTGGAGAGGTTGAGCTGTTCACCTAATGTCACATAGTAAATTGTAAAAGACAGGGTGACTTTTTAGTGTGTGTGTGTGTGTGTGTGTGTGTGTGTGTGTGTATGAGTGGCAGTATACACACACGCGCACACACACACACACACGCACACGCACACACACACACACCATATCGTTTTCGTTCTCTTGACTGCTCCCTCATCAGGTACCTCAGGGAAATGCCTAGATCACTTACTACCAATGAAGCAGCCAACATGTAGTGAACATTTACTGAACAGTGCGCCCTGTACCAAGCACATCCATGCATTACCTTTCCTAATTATCACAGCCATCCTGTGGGATAGGAATAATTATTATACCAATTTTACAGTTCATGAAACATAGGTTTACTTATTTGTTTCAATCCCAGAGTTTAATTTTTTAATTTTCATTTTATTTTAAAGAGAAAACAAAAATAACAATAAAAGAGTTTCAAGACAGATTATCTCATGGGGCCAGGGAGATAGCTCAGTAGAATAAGAGCTTGCCTGGCAAGCGCAGGGTCCTGAGTTCAATCCCTGGTAGCACACACACACACACAAAAAGGACAGGTTATCTTTGTAATAGTTATTCAGAGTACAAGACATGGGCATGGTATCTTGTCCAAACACTATTAGCACAAGCCTTTCTTTACAATGAACTAAGAGAAACTAGCTGTATAACTATCTTAACTATCTTGTGTATAAATATATATTTTCTTTTTCTCTTCCTTTTTTCCCCTTTCCCATGTCATAGGTTGTCTTTTCTTTGAACAGTTTCTTCCCCATTCATAATATCTATTGTACATTTTTTTTTGGAACCGGGGATTGAACTCAGGCCCTTGCGCTTGCCAGGGAAGCACTTATTCTACTGAGCCATCTCCCCGGCCCCCTAATGTACATTTTGGATCTTATGTACTCATTCAGTGTATCAACTAGTGAAACTATACAATAGTTTACACATGTGGGTCTGATTTATTTCACTTCTGAGTATGATCTCGAGTTACATTCACTTACCTATAAAAGTCTCCAGTTTATCCTTCTTTATGGCTGAGTACTAAAAATATATTATATTTTTAAAAAACCCATACCACAGCAATATATTACACCCATGCTTATAGCAGCACAATTTGTAATAGTTATATCTTGGAAATAACCTAAATGCCCACCAACCAAAGAATGGATAAAAAAAATGTGGTATTTTTATACAATGGGGTACTACTAAGCCATAAAGAAGGATAGACCTGAAACTTTTATAGGTAAATGGGGGAAACAGAGGTTCAAAGGTGACACGTAGCTTGCTTACCACACAATGGCTCCTGGGTACATAGGGAGACAACACTATTTCCTAAAGGCTATAAGAAAACAATCCAAGTTCAGAGAATTCATCAGAATAAAAGCTTTCCTCATCACTAAGGAAAGCAATACAGTTCACCTAGCTTAGTAGAAAATGTCACTACATTGAAAACTTTAATATAACACACGAATTTTATGGCCCAGATAATGGCCCAATTTCATAAGCCACATTGGTTTTAACAATATCCAGGTAAAACAGAAAACTCAGACAGCTCTGAGCAGCTACTCTGTAGACAACTCATAGTTTTGTCCTAATCCCAGCAGAATTGAGTGGGGATATTTGCCCAGTAAAGCATAAGAGGGCAGCTGTATATTTTGTTCCCCATTTCTCTCTCACTGCTGAGGACTGAATGTTTTCTTCTTTTATATAATTAAATACAACTCATAGATACCTAATAGAATAAAAACATTAAAACCACTTGTACTTCTCTTTACACATTCAAATAGATTAATGACAAATGACTTTTCTTATAAGAAGTGTGCCTTCCTGTCAATCTAGTCTTCAGGACATGACAACATCCTAAGCATTGACATTGGGAACCAATTCAAGTTGACATAAAATGTGACCATTGGGGTAGATAATTGATCTCTCTTTCCTGCCCACTTGGATCAATCCACTTCTCCCATAAATTTTGACCAGGAAAAGAAGTACCGTTTCCAGAACCAAGTGGACAAGATGAAAGAAAAGGTCAAGAATGTGGAGGAAAGGTCAAAGGAATTTGTTAACCGAGTGGAAGAAAAGAGCCATGACCTAATTCAGAAATGGGAAGAGAAGTCGAGGGAATTCATTGGCAACTTCCTGGAATTGTTTGGCCCCGATGGAGCATGGGTATGTAGTTACCTCACTTAGCCACAGAGTAATATGTTTTAGTTTATCTTCTTTTCATGGATCCTCTGAAGGGCATCCCTGCTTCACATGGTTTCCTCTTGGGTATCAGTGGAGATGACTTTGAGCCATGTCACTTTCTGATTTAGTTCCTACTTTACCCCTCAGTGTGGCACCAAGTAGCACCTGAAGCCAGGCCTGGGCTCTGTTTCTGTACTTTGTCCAGAGCTTAGAAGCCATTAATTATTCACTGTATGTTTATTAGTGCAAAGTTTGGTTCTGTAGCTAATGCCAGTCTCCCAGCTGGGGAGGATGCAAAGCTTAGGGGTAAAGCTTACCAGTGGCAGCCCTGAGCTTGTGTTGCAAGATAAGGTAAATGGGCTCTTAGCTGAATCATGGTCATTTATGTTTGGTGAGGGAGAATGTAAAAGAAATGTAGCTGGCTCAGTCATCTTTTGTTGTCATGAACTCTTCCATTTCACTGGTTGCAAGAGGTAGAATTTTGCTAAACATCTGTATCCTTTAGGACCAGATTTTCCCATGGCATCAAAGTGTTAGGATAAATGACAAAATCTGTAGAGGACGGAGATAATGAACTGAGAGAGAATATATAGATCACTTCCTTGTCTAAATTCTGTGAACAACTCTGAATGCTAACTATATGAAAGGAAAAGAAATTCTAGAAGCCATTGTATTCCTTTGTATACCTGCACATGCCCTATTGGAATAAATAACCAATATTGTCAGCAGAGTTAATGAGTATTCTGTGAAACAAATACTTTTAAGGCTGAATTTAAAATAAAAACAATGATTCCGTTTGATTTCCCTGGTGTTAAGTAGCCTAGATTTCCCATTATGAAATGAAAAATTTCTAACAAAATCCACTTTGACGTAATTATTTTATTGATGGGTTGTCACTGCTACCTCTGCTCATTTGAGCTCGTTCATTATAGGATTATCTAAAAGTAAAATACTCAATTAGTTATAGAAAAGGAACAATGTTCAGGAGGTGGGAAGAGATGGTTTGCTTCAAGTGCAGTGGACTCTAAGTGATTATAGAGGTGGGTGTTATGAGCCAACTCCATCCTACATATCAGCTGAGTCTGAGAAAGCTAGAAATTATGCAAGGGCTGCTTGAGCCTTAATAATTTCCAGAAAGAGTTGGCAAGGGTGGAAGAGCAAGGCACTGGCCTCCTTTTTGTTTTCTTCAGACCTGTTGAAATTTTCAGTTTAGATTATTTCATTCACGGGACATTTGTTAATGTTCTAGTGCATGTATGACACTGTGGAACAAAAACAAATAAGGTGGAGACTCTGTTCTCTGATCTCCAAAACATAAAGTCTGAAATTTTCCATTTGATTTAGCAGTTCCTATTTTCATAATTAATGTTCATGTTCTGAGGAACAGGTACTAGTAATAAAACAGGTACTTGAATAACACCACATAGGTATTCATTTGCTTACAGGGATTCAGAAATGTGTGTCTGCTGCAAAGCCTTCATACTGTAACTCAAGGGATGGATGTTTTCTCTCCCTGGGGTGAGCAAAGGCAGGCAAAGGATATAATTTCATAGAAACATCATAGACCTTCATTGTTTCAGGCTCCCAGTGAAAGGTGAAATAGTAGCTAGAATTGTTCTTGGAGAATCTGGTGACAACGAGCTGAGGTGATTTTTAAGAAATGAAATCCAGCTTAGAAACTGGAGGTTTTTCTTTTTAAAACTTGCTATTAGTGTCAAAACTGTTATTAACATTAATTTACTGTATCAGCCAGACTTAGACATTACTTTTTTCTGTTGACATTAAAAGTGCAGGAATAGTTACAAGGATGTTAAACGCCAAGATAAGTAATTTGCTTTTCATGAATATGTTATTATTATAATAATTCTTTATTTGTGGATTTGAGATTGGAACTCATTTCTTAAAATAGAGAATCTCCATTACCTGCAAACACAGTACTGATTACAAATAACCCAAACTTGGAAAGGTGAAAAATTGGATTTAAAGTACCAAATTTGGTACAGGAGGTTTGGTAGTTTATAGTAGATGCTCCATAAATAGTTCTGAGTTGAGTGAATGGATGTGTGAGAAAGACCTATTCACAAAGTTGTCTGGTATCTGCAAAGGCCTGAGTCCTCCACATGCATGTCTGTGTCATTTGCCTTCTATTGCTTATGATACAGGAGCTGTTTACAACTTCATGTTCGGTTGATCAAATTTAATTTGCTGACTTGGTATGCTTAACACTTAGCCATATTTTAAAATTTATTTTGGGGAGGGCATGAGCTCTCTATTTTTCCATGACCACAACATTCCTAAAGACTCCAACCCTTTCCCCAATCTGCTTCACACATTTATGCTGCCTGCCTGACCCTAGAAAATATTTCGATGTGTTCCTTTCCACTCTGGGAGAACATTATACAAGGATGTGAATAGCATGACATGGGGGACATTGAGGGCCATCCTGGAGGCTGCCTGTCAGAGTGGCTTTTAACAATTTGAAACAAGCAGTCCATACTTCTTCACTGCCATAATAGATTGTCTATTCCTATTTACTTGGTCTGGTTGGTGGATTATCAGGCACAAGCTGTTACTTTTCAATTTTATCAGTCTACTTATTTAACTACTTTTCTTTGATTCTTCTAAAGAGTTTTGACTTGTGCTCAGAAGGTAGCTTATAGCATAACCAGTGTGGCACAGGGAACCCTTCTGTGTCAGTCAGCTTCACATTACTGTAAGGGAATTCCTGAAACCTTCACCTTGAAAAGAGGAAACATTTGTTTTGGCTCACAGTTCTGGTAACCTCAGTCCATGGTTGGTTGGCCCTGTTGCTTTTGAGCTTGAGGGAAGCAGAATATTATGGTGGGAGATTATGGTAGGGAAAGCTACTCACCTTTGGGCAGCTGGGATGTGGGAGAGAGAGAGAGAGAGAGAGAGAGAGAGAGAAAGTGATGGAGTCCCACAGTTCCCTTAGAGGGTGCTCCCCTCGTGTTGGGAAGACTTCCCACTAGGAATCACTTTTGAAGTTTCCACCACATCCCAACAGTGCCCTGAGGGAGGACACCAAGCCTTTCCAACATAAAAATCTTTGGGGAAGATTCCAGATCTAAACTATAGCACCCTTCCAACACAGGTCGGTATTACTGTTCTTTGGTAGTGTCTCTGAAAGACCAACTGTCACAAGAAGGGTTTTCAAGGAGCTTAATTTTGAAGTTTTGTTGATTTTTTGGAGTGATGCCATGCCTCCAAAATGGCACTTAGTATTAAGAGTCATGGAGCCTGCAGGGTCAGGGAATGTTGGCTCAGAGTTCAGGGGTTCTTTTGGGAATAGGGTTTTCCTTAATTTTGAAGTATCTGAATTTTCTAAATAGACATGTCCTCTTTAAATACTAGCACCTCAGCCACACACACCATTTTTCCCCATAATTTTATTGAGAAACAAATAGCAATGAGACAGTTTCAAACCCAATTGGTAGGACAATTTCAATAATTAACACATTGCATACATTCTTCCTAGTGGTTAATAGCTGTACAAGATGTGGACTTGAGATCCTATTTACAGACACCATTAGAACAAATCCTTCTAATCATTAAGAGAATGTAACTATATATCTATCCTAAGCACTTTGAATATACAGATACAAAATTGACATTCATCTGTAGCCCCTTTTGTTGTTAAGTTCCATCATTTAAATATTATAGGTGTATAAACTCAGCAAAATACTCTAAAAGAGTTCATTAGTCCATAATAGCATTAGGTCTTCCGCTTGACTGGCAATGTCAGAAATTGTTGACCTGAGTCCCCTACAGCTCAACATAACAGCATGGCTTTACTTCTTATACTTTGTTTTTATACTTTTCTGCTGGATGGTTAAGACCAAGGTAAAGCAGGATCTGTGCAACAGGAGTTGTAGCTTTTGGGTCTGATAAGGTCAGTGAAATGCCCTCAGGATTTATCCTGAGATCTTGTACCTCAGATTGTAGAACCTTTGTCAGTGTCAGCCATGTGGATGAATCACGGCTATTGCTTGGCCAGTGTGCTCTCTGTGAAAGCCTGAGAGAATGTTTTCTCTCCATGTGACTCTCCTTAGGCACACTCTACATCAAGGCTATTGTGATAAAATCAGCATAGTACTGGCAACAGAATAGAACTGCGGATCAATGGAATAGATTAGAAGATGCTGAAGCCCCTACGAACACACTCAGCCACCTTATCTTTGACAAAGGGACCAAACATACTCACTGGAAGAAAGGTAGCCTCTTTAACAAATGGTGCTGGAAAAACTGGCTCTCTACATGCTGAAAACTCAAACTTGACCCAGGTCTATCACCATGCACTAAACTAAAGTCAAAATGGATTAAAGATCTAAACATTAAAGCAGAGACACTAAATCTCCTGGAAGAGAAAGTAGGAGGAACTCTTGAAGACATAGGGGTAGGCAAAGAGTTCATGGACAGAAATTAAATCACATGGGAAACAGTTGAAAGAATTAACAACTGGGACCTGCTCTTACTGAGGAGTTTTTTCATGTCAAAAGAAATTACCAACAAAGTGAAAAGGCAACCCACAAATTGGGAAAAAATCATGACAAATAAGTACTCAGACAAAGGTCTGCTCTCTAGAATTGATAAAGAACTAAAAAACACTAGGGCCCCAAAATTTAAAGACCCAATCCAGAAATGGGCATCCGAGATGAACACATGCTTCTGAGAGGAAGAAATTAAAGAAGTGAATAAATATATGAAAAATGCTCCACATCCCTAGCCATCCGCAAAATGCAAATTAAAACAGCGTTTAGATATCATCTCACCCCAGAAATGATGGCTTTCATAAAGAAATCACACAACAACAAATGTTGGAGAGGCTGTGGGGAAAAAGGAAGCCTTCTCCACTGCTGGTGGGAATGTAGACTGGTGCAACCATCACGGAAATCAGTGTGGAGACTCCTTAGAAAGGTTGGACTGGAAATCTCATCTCAACCAGCTATTCCTGTACTGGGAAT